CTGACAAAAACTTTGTTACTACACTGTTAGGGCATGCAAAAATCAAGCACCTAAATAGCTGGGAGGGGTCCATAAGGAGTGGTTGGCTATTCAAAGAATAGGCTCCTTTGTTATCTGTATTTGTCATAGAATAACACTTTCTTTTACTCTGTAAAGAAGAATGAGGTAGCACAGGAGAGGAAATTACAAGCTGCTTTCAGTCTATGATAGGAGGAAGTGAAAGTGTTAGGAGATTCAGCTAAAGGATGATCCCATGTCTTCTTAATTTTGCATCCAGGTAGAAAGTCTGATTTTGAATATCATCTCTATTTTTTACAGTGGGTTTTTACATTTTTTATTTATTTGATTGCTATGTTTTATTCCCTTGTCTAATTATTTTTCTAATGTTGGTATTGTATAAAAATGGACATATTTGTTTTGTAGGTGAACATCATTCCAATAATTGCAAAAGCTGACACCATTGCCAAGAATGAATTACACAAATTCAAGAGTAAGATCATGAGTGAACTGGTCAGCAATGGGGTCCAGATATATCAGTTCCCCACAGATGAAGAAACAGTGGCAGAGATTAACGCAACAATGAGTGTAAGTCCTCCAGTAAAATGGGAACAAGTGATTTTCCTGAAAGCTTTTCTTAGCAGCAAACAGCACTGGAGAGTGGCTAGCACACGGGACTGGAAACCTGATGTCTTCAGTTGTAATCCAGTTTTGCCACTACTTCATGGCATTTAACCAGCCTGCTCCTCAGTTTCCCCATCTGTCAAATGGGAGAGTTAGACAAACTGATCTCACGTGTCCTTTCTACTTACCAGGATTTCCACAGAAATCTTAAGGGAGGGAAATGGCAGCCATTTCACATGGAGTAGCTCAAAGGAAATGGATCTCTGCTTGTTTCTGCCAGTGTTGGCAAAAATATGCCTGCCTGCCTCAGTCTTGCTTTGGCGATTGGCTCCTTCCTTTCCCTCCTTTCCATTTTCCTTACCCTTTCCTGAATGATTAGGTAAACTGGCAGTTGAGGGTACAATTTCCACATCACAGAGAGAAACAAATAAAGCGGCAGTGGTTCAGGGAGTGCTGTGATGCCATTCCTCCTGGTGAGCCTGCGTCCTGCTGGTTCTTATCCACGTCTTTCCTGCTCTCTTTTGTGTCTCACAGCCATGGCCCAGCTGTGCCTCACAATGACCAGCCATATCTCTTTTTTTAGGGAATGCATAACTTCTGTAAAAGCAGCATTCTTTGCACATAGTAGAGGCCCAATGGTGGTTGTTGGAATTCAGGATAGTAATGGGTCTGGAATCCCTGGATGAAGCTGGAGCACAGATTGTTCCTGGGAAATAGGCATAAGGGGGTGTGAAGGGAAGGTTCCCCAAAGGGAGGCTGACTAGATTTATTCAAAAGACCCAGAACCAGTGGGCAAAAGCGCAGTGAAGGGTTTTGACCCAGCATGAAGTGAATGATTAACTCTTAAGCCGTCGTGATGTAAGATGCACCGTACTGAAGCAGTGAGTTCCCGTCACAAGCGGTTGGTGGAGAGCAGCTTCTGTTTTCACTTAGAAGAGAGAGAGACTGTAGAGGGAATTCTTTAAAAGGACTGAACTGAATAATATGTAAGATCTCTTCCACCTCTGAAATCCTCTGGTTATGGGTGTTGAGAGCCTCATAATAATAGTAGTTCCTGACCTGACATTTTTGACATTACGAGCGTTTATACTCGTATGCATCAGGCACTGTTCAAGGCTTTACATTTAATCCTCAGAGCAGTCCCATGGGTAGGTGCTATAGTTACTCCTGCCTCACATATGAGGAAATGGCAGCATAGTGCCTAAGATGGCACAGCTACCGGTAGTGGAGGTAGGATTTAAACCCAGGTGGTTTGGCTCTGGGGCCAACATGCTCACCCTTTATACTACCTGCCACCCAAGCAGAGCAGTGTTCTTGTTTTATAGCATGTCAGAAGCTGAGATGGCACTTGTTTATTCTGCCGTAGAACTGCAGTTTGGGATGTCAGTGTAGGGCTCAGGAAGTAACATGAGTGAAGACCATTTAATTTCTCTTTGTATCCCTCCCCATCCTTTTAAATAATGCTTCGTAGCCATGAAACTAAATTTGTGATAAACTCCTTGGAATGAAAATACCCATGAACTTTTGCTCTCTTTCTCTCTTTAATAAGATTAATAGAACCAAAGATCTTTGACATTCCAAATAAATCCTGTTCTTCATCAAGAAAGCTTCTTTTACATTCTTTATTACAAACAGTTCTTGCTGATGAATCCCATATGATGTGTGGAAATCTGAGGAAACAGATTCCACTGGTGGTTGCTTTTGTTCCATCTGAGTGGAGAAGCAGTCTCCTTGGCCATGACACCAAAATGTTGACCAGAAAGATCCTGTTGCTCCTCAACTTCAGGAAACACATTTCAGTTTCGTACTTGGAGTTTGAGAAGGAGAATGTGCTTGTTTTCTTTCCTAGAGAAGTGAGATGAACTAGAAAATTTAAATACTTTGAGCATCAGACAAAATGCCACTTGGGCAACCTGAGTTGAGGTTTATGTCAAGCTCCATGGGGGAGGATTTGGCTTGAAAATATTCCTTTTTTCTCAACTTATCTGTAGTGGAAGAACACTGGATCAAGAAACCCTAAGTAATAGCTCTTAGAGCAGCTATTTCAAATCTCCTTATTCTTATACACTAACAGGAAAAAAAATAAAATTAGTATTATTCCTCCACTCCCATCCCCAGAATGTAGCTGTAACTACCAAATAAATCAATGTGAGTCAGTTGTTTTGGACACCCTCTGTGTTAGAGGTAAATCTGGGTGCAAGGCTTGAGCCAATAATTTGGGCTAAAGTGTGTTTCTGACCTGAAATTTGTGCAGTGATCAACTGTCTAAAGCAGTGCTATTTAACAGAAGGATAATGTGAGCCACATAGGAAATGTAAGATTTCCTAGTAGCCATATTTAAAAAAGTAAAAAGAAACATGAAATTAACTTTAAGAACTTACTTAACTCAATATATTAAAAGTATCATTTCAACATGTAATCAATATAAAAATTGCTAATGAGATATTTTTGTAGTGGGTCTTTGAAATCCAATGTATATTTTATAATGGCAGCACATCTCAATTCAGATTCTAAATTTTCATCAGAAATATTTGATCTGTATTTATATAAAATTTATAGTTAAAAAAGTAGATCACATACAGAGGTTATTCCTAACATATTTTCATGTTTTTCAGTATAACGTAAGTACCAAAAAGATATTTTTCCTTTAATATTTGCATCTGCCTTGACAAAACTGGTCTTTTTAGAAGATTTGATTTGAGTTTGGAACAAAGTGAAATGCAGTTCTACCAAAACAATAAAGTTATATTTAACGGGAAAATATTTTACACTGCTTTCATGTTAAATTTCAGTGTAAATTAACTAAAAGTAAATAAAGTTAAAAGTTCAGTTTCTTGGTCTTACAGCCCTATTTCAAGTGCTCATAGCCACATATAGTTAGTGGCTACTGTAATGGATAGCCCATGTCTAAAGCTTACCCTTTCCCCACCATCTACCTCATTTCAGATATTCAGTATTTGGCTGCAGGAGGTGGGATACATGATGCGCACCTACCGAGCTGCAGTCTCCCACTGTTCTCCCTCTGCCCGCCTTTTCTCTTGCCTGCCCAAAGGAGGGAGTGTGCAGAAGCTGGTGGAGGACTGGTCTTTGTCAGAGCTGTGGAAGATGACTGCTTTCTGTCCTTCTGTTGCTTGGCAGGTCCATCTCCCATTTGCAGTGGTTGGCAGCACCGAAGAGGTGAAGATCGGCAACAAGATGGCCAAGGCCAGGCAGTACCCCTGGGGTGTGGTGCAGGGTATGTGCATGTCATGGGAAAGGGACTCTTCATATTTAAACCCCGTGGTGAATAGCCACGTTTCTTCCCTCCCTATCTTGTTTAGGGAGGTCCTCAACAGTGGGCGGGGGGAGGGAGAGGTGGGGTGTCACACCTGGCAGTCTTGGGGGTGAGAAGAAATAGTAATCAGGTAGGTAGGCAATGGAGAGAAGTGGCTGCCAAGCCCCATGGCAACGAGGCAGCTCCTCAAGGATGATGGGTTGTGTGGCACATTCAGTATAAACTCCTGACAGAAGACGGTTCTTCCCTAGGAGTTTGAACCAGCATCATCAGCAGAGTATAAGA